GCTGACTAAGTTCCATCTTGCATTCCTTAAGTACCCTGGAAAACAACTCGTCGGGCCCCGGGGACTTATTTTGCTTCAGTTTGTCTGTTTGATAACCATGTCCCTCGTGACAGTAACATTAGTGAATTTGAATTCGTCAGGAACTGAATAATTGTTAATTTTGTACACTTACAATATAACATGGAAGATGTCTTAACATTAGCTTCCAGTATGGCAGGGTTAAATAACATACATTACAGAATACATAAGCACTCCAACCAACTACTGATACCCTTGTAGGTTTAACACTTCTTTTTGATATTAACTACTGATAGCTCAGCATCCACAGAGCCATCCTCCTTAGCACAGTAAGGCCATATCAACACGCAACAGCAACTAGGATTCAAGGTAAACTGTAGTAATTATTACTATATATCCCCTCAAAAATACAACAGTTAATAGGAAAGTAAAAATATCACTAATTAGATAGATTTATTTTTCTACATGTATATAAATACAATATTCCCAAAGGAATTATCTTTTGGATTAACCAGAAAATCGCCAAATTAGTAATTATTCTTACTGGGAATTGCCAGAATAGTTCAATTATGTACAAGAGAAGTTTCTCGGGGGATGGGAATGGTATTTTACTGCATCATAAATTAACATTTTTAATTGAGATACAGTATTCCACACACACATTATACAGACTCAGAACACTTTGCAGCAATTACATGTACTGAAAATTTCAAACCATGGGCTTAGCATCAATAAGTTGGAACCAATAACCACACTCACATCGTTTCTTTTCACCCTTTTCTAGCCACATCCAGTTGATGCAAGTAGCGTCTTCTTCGCAGATGCAACCAACTAGCCTCCTTTCATAAAATGATGGAACAACTGTTGGGTTACTTGAATCACCACTTACACGCTTGTACACTCTCATATCAAAGGGATTCTGAAAATGCAGCAAAAGTTAAATAATTTAATGATTTTATGGCACAGTAATTCAATATCAGCTTAGAGGGGAGTATAGAGAATGTAAATGTATGTATTCAGATATTTTGGAGTGAATTTGTTGGCAGATGGTTCTATGAAAGGCTAGATGAAGCACAGAATAAAACAGACACTTTATACATGGAGGACCTATTTTGTGTGTGAAGCATGGGCTTCAAAACATTGCAGCACGGAGGCTATATAGGATTATGTCATAATTAAAAGCAATGTGAGCAAGAAGATTAGATGAAGTGGGGTTACTGAAAGTATAATTCAGAGGGCTGAGGTGGTTTTGGCATTCAGAAAAAATGGCACAGAATAGGATGGTGTATAACTATGGAGTGGAAGGGAGGAGTTAGGGGGTCATCCAAGGAAGGGTTAGAGGAGGGAAGTAAAGGTGGTTTTGAGTGTTAGGGGCTTGAACACCCATCAGGGTTACGAGAGTGCATTTGATTGGAGTTAAGACAAGTGGTTTTTATGAAGAGCTGTTGGAGCATGACCAAGGTAACTTGTTTAACGGGATTCAGGGATAACAGGTTAACCGGAGTTCTGGAGGTGGGAAGTACAGTGCTTGCACTCTGAAGGACGGGCGAGATGGTGCAGTATGGAAGGTCATCTGAAGTGTTATGTCAGCACACTTGGCAAGACAGAAATTGAGTGAATGATGGCAAATGCTCTTATCTCCGTGGGAGATGGCTAGTGTTATAAGAAGTGCTTGTGCAAGTTTCTATCATTAAGTGCATTGGAAATAAATGGTATAAAATACCGACACAATGGAAATATAAACACATAAGCAGCATAACATGATCCTTTACTGACAACATTTCACCCACGTAAAGCCCACTGTGTAGGCAAAATGTTGTCAATAAAGGATAACATTATACTGCTTATGTTTATATTTCCATTAAGTGCATTATTGTAATGTTTGTAACTAGGGTAAATCTGCTAAATCTAATACCCTGTACCAGTAAGCTGAAAATCCTTCATATTAAACTGCATTAAGTTTACAAAACCTGTTGATTGGTATTAAGATTTCCATTGGACTTTCTTTTAATCCAAAACTTTCCATTTGTACATTTTTTAACCGTTTCAGGGTCCAGAGGCCAAATTTCAAAGTGTGCACCTGGGTCCAAGAATTTTCAAAAAATAATTTTGTTATATTTTCTTATGAAATGGTAGAGAATCTTTTTCTGAAGGTAATAAAACAAAAAGTACGAAATCTGATGGAAAATTAACGAAATTATGCTCTCATGAATTTTGATGTGTCAGCGATATTTACGCATCGGCGATTTTGCCGATTTTGACTCCCATTTTAGGCCAATTACATTATTCCAGTCAACCAAATTCTTAGCTATTTCACTAGTATTACTTCTATTCTATCTATTGAGCACAAGAAATCACAGTCAACTGTTTCAACTACAAAATAAAGTGATCGGAAATTGGTAATCTGGCCAATTTAATGCAAAGTTCAAAATATTCCAATTTCAAAATAGGGTCCAGAATAAACAATGCAGGCATTCCTGGCACTAAACTGACATTTCCTCTGTTCATTAGTTACATTTTCAGGCTTTACAAATGAATTCCATTTTGATTTTGTATTCACATAATGAATTTTTATTCAAACCAAAAAATAGAAGATTTACTGTTATGAAATATTGTAATAATTGAATAAATAATATCACCACATTTGTGAACGTGTATTAGACACACCAGCTGGTGTGTATTAGACGTGTGAGGCCATTTGTTTACTCTTGAACATCGGAAAAAACTGAACACTTCGGCTACTTTGAGCTCAGTTTCAAGCCATTTTCAGTACTAAAACCAATAACAATCATCTCTTTTTCTGTAATATATCTTCCATTCTATCAAATGAGACCAAGAAATCACAAATACAACTATAAAAAACATACAAAAAAAACTGCAAAGTTGCCGTTTTAATAGAAAATTAGTCTGTTTTTTTTTCTCATTATGCACTGTGTGCTGCAGGATTTGTTTTATGTGGTGCACACATACCACATTGATGTATTCTCTCATATCTAGGCCCAAGTTTACCGCTCACAGCTTGTCAGAGCAAGCCGAGCTCATGGTGTAGATCTATGGTTTGGACCCTCAACATAAAGCCGTAGATCTACAGCACGGACCCTGAAAGGGTTAATAACAGCCATTTCCCATCATGACAAATAACCCAAAGAAAAACATCACTTTTTCTGACTTTCTAAAAATACATGGCTGTCACGATGCCTTTTTTTAACATCTGCAAGCTACCAAGGCAGGATGATTATTATTTTATATTCACAGGGAAGAGCTAAACCTGTAGGGAGGTCACACAGCACAAAGAAAACATCCTCTGTTTCTCATTCAATAGCTTTCTTGCCAGAGGTATGCAGACATCCGATGTTGAATGACCACTTGGTACCGTAACATTGTTGATTGTTCTACCATATTGTATTACTACTACAACTAATATCACGAATCTGGCATCATTGGGATTACAGAGTGGTTAGGTTAGAATACACTTAATAAAATTAACCAACTTGACTAACACAAAGTTCCTTGAACATCGACAAAAATCAAACATTTCCGCTACTTTGAGCTCAATTTCAAGCTACTTTTCATCATGAAAGCAATCAAAATCATATATGTATATTTCTGTAATATAGCTTCTATTCTATCAAATGAGACCAAAAAAACAAGAATACAACCATAAAAACCATACGAAAATATACTGAAAATATACTGCAAAGAGGCGGCTAATGGATGAGAAGTGAACTCCCATATTCATCGTCCTTTTTTTTTTTTTTTTTTTTTTTTTAGTTTTGGTGTACATTAAGAAGCATCTTTCCATCATATATTGCCCACATTTCAATAGGATAGCCCAACAAATGAGAAAAAAATTATTTACCAAAAAATCATATATGGGAAGCCCAAGCCAGGTACTGGAAATAAGTCACCGACTTTTTTGGGTTATCCTAGGTTCTCTATACGTACGCTGCTATGTACAATAATCTATAACTAGTGTATACCTGAATAATTTATTTATTTACTTACTTCTATTCTGAAAATAAATGGTATAACATACCGACACAATGGAAACAAACAAATATGCAGTTTAATGTGATCCTTTACTGACAACAATTCGCCCAAACAGTGGGCTTTTTCAAGTCACAAACAGATCTACCTGGGGTGGAAGGTACAGGAGTATTTCTAGTCAGGTTCATAATGTTGAGGTCAGGTGGAGAATGCTGCATCTGATGATCTGATGGGGTTATAGTCTGAAATCTTGGGTAGCTTGGCAGGGGTATTGGACAAGTTGTGAGCAGAAGGTCTGCTCACAACTTGTCCAATACCCCTGCCAAGCTACCCAAGATTTCAAACTATAACCCCATCAGATGCAGCATTCTCCACCTGACCTCAACATTATGAACCTGACTATAAATACTCCCGTACCTTCCACCCCAGGTAGATCTGTTTGTGACTTAAAAAAGCCCACTGTGTGGGCGAAACGTTGTCACTAAAGGATCACATTAAACTGCATGTGTGTTTATACTTCTATTCTGTCAACTGAGTACAAGAAACCGCCCAGTCACCTATTTCAACTACACAATAGTGGTCAGAAATTGACAATTTGGCCAATTTTACACAAATTTCAACGGATGCCAATTTCAAAATAGGGTCCAGAATTAACAATGCAGACATTTCTGGCACTAAAATAATATTTCCTCTGTTCATTAGTCATGGCTCCAGGCCCCTCTTATATTACACTTGCTTACCATTTGGAAATTTTTATACACACAAAAAAAATAGAAGATTTACTGTTATGCAGACTACTGCATTATTGTAATAATTGTATAAATAATGTCAACCCATTCTTGACTGCGTACTGGAATTTGGACTGGCATGCGCACACATATTAGACAGTGACGTCATTTGTTTACTCTTGAACATTGCTAAAGAATGGAACATTTCTGCTACTGTGAGCGCAATTTCAAGGTACTTTTTGTCGTGAAAGCAATCAGAATCATATCTAGTTCTGTAATATATCTTCCATTCTATTAAATGAGGCCAAAAAAAGACAATACAACCATAAAAACCATATGAAAATATACCGCTATGGGGCCGCTAATGGCTGAGAAGTGAACTCCGTTATTTATGGTCTGATTTCTTTCATTTTTGGTGTACGTTAAGATGCATCTCTCCATCATACATTGCCCAAGTTTCAATAAGATAACCCAACAAACAACTGAGAAAAATATAATAATAATAATAATATCTTTATTTACTACACGTACATGTACATGGTATACAGGCCTAGCTGACATCAGTGACATACTACTACACAAAAGTCCTTTGTTATGCTAAGCATTTCAGGCAAATTAGGTCAGTGCCCCAGGATAAGACCCACACCAGTCCACTAACACCCCGGTACCCATTTACCGATGGGTTAACATAGACAACAGGTGTAAAGATACACGTCCAATGTTTCTACCCTGGCTGGGAATTGAATATTTACCAAAAAACATATGGCTAGCCCAAGCTAGGTACTAGAAATAAGCCACTGACTTTTTTGGGCTATCCTAGGTTCTCTACACATATGCTGCTGTGTGTGATAATCTATGTAGAGAAAATAGCTTTTCTGTTTGTTTTATGGTGCAGTACGAGTACTCCGTTTTCTCTAATATAAGCCCCAATACAGGGATAGGAGAATAGTACTTGTATCCCATATCCTCTTCATACCTCCATCGAACTGCTCAGTATTATGCCAAATATTTATTCTGGGGTATTTAACATGTTATTTATATTGTTTATTATGTCATATTAGATCAATTGTGATAGGCAAATAAGCTGTAGTGTTGATATTAGCGTAATAATAAAGCATATTCTCCTGCATCACGAGACCGAGACTGAGCTCATGGCAACCGACAGTGGCTTCAAAGCCACCTTATCTTTAACCCTTTCAGGGTCAGCAGGCCCTCTCCTAAACTTGTTCTCAGGGTCAATAGTTTTTTTGGAAAAAAAAAAATCAATTATGAAATGATAGAGAATCTCTTCCCGATCATAATGACACCAAAATATGAAATTTGATGGAAAACTTGCAGAATTATGCTCTCGCGAAGTTAGCGGTCTTGACGATGTTTACGCATCGGCAATATCGCCCACTTTAAGCCCTATTTTCAGCCAATTCCAATGTACCAGTTGACAAAAATCATAACTATTTCGCTAGAACTCCCTTTTTTTCTATTGAATGAGTACAAGAAATCACTTATTTACCGATCTGAACTATCCAATGAAGCGGTCAGAAATTGGGAATTTTATCAATTTCACACAAATTACAAAAGATACCAATTTCCAAAGAAATAACTATTTCGCTAGAACTCCCTTTTTTTCTATTGAATGAGTACAAGAAATCACTTATTTACCGATCTGAACTATCCAATGAAGCGGTCAGAAATTGGGAATTTTATCAATTTCACACAAATTACAAAAGATACCAATTTCCAAAGAGTTCAAATAAACAAGACAGACATTCCTGGTACTAAAATAACATTTTTTCTGTTCATCAGTCATGTCCCCAGGCCTCTCTTAGATTTCTTTTGCTTTCCACTTTGAATTTTTATTCACAAAATAATAGAAGATTTACTGTTATACAGACTACTGCATTAGTTTAGAAATGGTAATAATATCAGCGCACTTGTTAAAGAATATTAGACTCACCAGTTGATGTGTATTGGACGCGTGGCATGATTTGTTTACTTTTGAACTTTGGCAATAATCGAACATTTCTGCTACTTTGAGCTCAATTTCAAGGTACTTTTCATTATGAAACCAATCAAAATCATCTCAATTCCTGTAATATGTTTTCCATTCTATAAAATGAGTCCAGGAAAACTAGAATACAACCATAAATAACATACGAAAATACAGTGGACCCCCGCTTAACGATCACCTCCCAATGCGACCAATTATGCAAGTGTATTTATGCAAGTGCTTTTGTACGTGTATGTTTGGGGGGTCTGAAATGGACTAATCTACTCCACAATATTCCTTATGGGAACAAATTCGGTCAGTACTGGCACCTGAACATACTTCTGGAATGAAAAAATATCGTTAACCAGGGGTCCACTGTACACTGCGAAGTCGCTGTTTTAAAGCAAAAACACGGAGTTTTTTCTCATTTTGCACTGTGTGCTGCAGGATTTTTTTTATACTGTGCACACTGACCACATAGAACCATTCTTTCATATGTAGGCCTACCTGCTTTCTCTCACTAGATTTGAAGGCGCTAGAATTTATGCATACTAGTACGGCACCAACCCTGGCGTGCAAGCCGTACTACTATTACGGCAGCAACCCTGAAAGGTTTAATGGACAATGTACTGTATAAGTGCTTTACACAATGAGAAGCATTTCTTTTATTCGTTGGAACCATGGCTTGGGCTAAAAGCAAGCAGGTTATAACAATAGAGAAAAAGAAATTGGAATGACTTATGCAGCAAGTAGCACCACCAAACCGTACCAGCAGGTTGGTGTGGCGACCCTGGAAATTTGAAATTAAGCCAGCAGAAATTAGTGCCTAATAACTGATGGAACCGGAGGTCTGATTGCCGGATTTGTGATGGCGGACCTGTACTACTACCTCTTGTATTACACCTCACTCTAAGCCTATATACACCCTCTGTGTCCATGTACTGTTTGTAATGGCTTGATAATGCTCCTGGAGAGTGAAATGTTGCCACAATAAAATGTCACATTAGTTGCATGTGTGTCCTTTTACTTAACACCCCTAAGAATGCAGGCATTATACTTCCCCACCTTCAGAGCTCAAGTCAGGCCAACCAATTTTCAATAAGAATATAAAGAAAACTTGATATTACAAATAACCACACCACACCTATCATTTTGAAATCAACTTATGTACTGTGTATGAATCTATATATATTGACATACACAACAGGATAATGTACAGAGTACTAAAATATTCTTACCTCATTGCCTGCAGCCTTAGCTAGAAGCTCCTGTTTCTCCAATCCAGTAGCATGTTCCAATGGATCAGCCATCACTGAGAGGAAATTTATTAAATTACCTTTACAATAAATCACAGCCAATGCTAATACCATAAAAACTTATATAAACACACAAACTACCGATGTCAAAATAACAAGGCTCAATTACTGTTACAAAGGAGAAAACACAAAGGAATGGTAACCCATTTAACCCTTAAACGGTCCAAACGTATATATACGTTCTCTCGCATAGCACTCCAAACGTATATATACATTTCATTTGTCATTCAACATTGGCACAATAGGCCTGAGTTGCCTAGACATGAGAGAAAGGGTGTGCACACTCAGTGCACCATATGAAAAAAATTGGGGATGCCTGGGTACCACATGCTCTTTTTTTTTTCCTATTAAAATTTTTTTTTTTTTTCAAAATATTCGGGGCGCTGCACAGGTAAACATATATACGTTTGGACCATTTAAGGGTTAAATACTTGTTAAATTCCAGTTTTTTTCCTCATTTATCCAGACTTCAAAATCAATACACAAGCTGAAGAAATTTATATATTTTTATTAAATTCAACCATAAAAAAATACTGGACTGTACATATTTAAGATGTTTAATACTTTATACTGTAGAACAGCAGTTTTACATTTAGAAACTATAGCTTATCAGTACGGGTACCTGCCACCAGAGCGCGCACATGCACACACGCAAACCAGCACGCGCACACAAAAATCCTTCACAGGAGATACATTTCCAGCATGATTGACAGAAGTCACATACAGGAATTTGCTTACATTGTACTCAAGTATAAGTAAAGGTTTTATGCTATTTTTTGACAAGTAAAAGAGAAGATGGAGGGTAATCTTATTCATGGGTAACATTTTACCTGGATTGAAATCTTTAAGCTGTAATCCCTATTCCAAAGAACATGATATAGCAACACCACAGTAGGTCTGTTGGCCATGCTAGGCAGGTTCTACTCATCTATAATTAATACTACCTCCAAGCCAGTGCTTTCATTCATTCATACATACATATAAATATTAATATAGGTATAGAGGAGCAGGTCCCGTTTGTCCAACAATCGTATGTTTTTTGTCTAGAAATTTACTGCCAAACCAATGCTCTCCTATAAACAGGTAAAAACACATAAAAGGAGCAATACTAGCCTATGCCAGGTAGGCTCAACCCTCACTCACCCATTTCCACTAATGTAAGGTAGTACCTCCCCATTTCACATTTAGCACTGCCTAAAGTACTTGCTTTAATGTTGTTACTTGAAAGTTTGTTCTAAGGAATCTACAACTCTGCATGTCAGAGATAAACATGAAGTGCTTGTGGCTTGGTTTACAGCATCAACTTACATACTGAGGTCCAGGGGATCAATCACAGTATGGGTAAAATATAGTGTTGAACATACATACATACACCTGCTGCCCTTGTTCACCTAGCAGCAAATAGGTACCTGGGTGTTAGATGACTTGTGGGTTGCATCATGGGGGTCAAGATTAACTTGCTCAAAATACTCTGCATAACAAGGGGCTTTCTATATAGTGCTAAGGATGTCAGTTAGGCCTGTAATAGTTGTATCCTGTACCTGTAGAAATACCAAAATTCTTGAGGGCTGAAATGGCTAGCCATTACAACCCTGGATAATACATAATAATGACTATTTAAAATTAATGTACAAACATTATAATATCTAGAGGGGTTTTGGGGGTCAACACCCTTATGGCCCAGTCCACGACCAGGCCTCGCAGTGGATAAGGGCCTGATCAATTAGGCTGTTACTGTTGGCAGCACATAAACCGATGTACGAGCCACAGCCTGGCTGATCAGGTTCTGACTTGAGGTACTTTTCCAGCGCCTTCTTGAAGATAGCCAGGAGTCTATTGGTAATCCTCCTTATGTATGCTGGGAGGAAGCTGAACAGTCTTGGGCCCCTGACACTTGTTGTATAGTCTCTGACATACTCGTGGCACCCCTGCTTTTCATTGGGGGGGGGGGAGGATGCTGCATCTGCCAAGTCTTTTGCTTTTGTAAGGAGTGATTTCTGTGTCCCTCTAGGATTTTCCAAGTGTATATTATGATGCATCTTTCTCACATGCATTCCAAGGAGTACAGGTCAAGGGACTTGAACTGCTTCCAGTAGGATGAGATTAGCTTTTTTTTTTTTTTTTTTTTTTTAAGCTAGGTTAGTTTTTATTTAGGTATCATTTATAATTTTAGAGTACAAGTGGCTGCGTAGTAAATTACGCAGAATTTAACCAATGATAATGTGACTTACTTCCAGTAGTAAGATTTTTGCATGACTTAAGTCAATGTATCAGGTCATTTTCATAATGTCAATTTTTTTTTACAGTCAAAAGTTGAATATATTTAATTTATTTAGTAATTTTAGCATACATACAGAGGTACAAAAAAATACAGGTAAGAGCAGCATGCCAAAGCCACTTATATGCATAGCATTACGGGCTGGCTTAAAATTAACTTAAGATTAACTAAGCAACTCTAAGCTACTCTATCCCTTTTATATGTAATTTGATACATATTAAATTTGATACTTCTAGTCCTCGGTTCTAAAAATGTTACATAAACAAATGTGGTAATGTGCGAGAACAGCCAAGCAGTCAGACATGTATGTTGATATACCTTTGATGGTAAAGTATACATAAATGGAATGACGTTTTATATAACTGATGTGGATTGCATCCTGGGGAAGAGAACCAAAAAGATTATAATGTAAATAAGCTAGACCCCTTTTTTTTTTTTTTTTTTGGTTATCCTGGATTACTAACGCTCTGGGTTAATCCGAATAAAATTGAGCATGAGCCAGCAGGAAGACTGCAGTTCCAATTTCATCATTAATCTTTCGCTAGCATCATTATCGACCACACCCAATTGTTTAATTTCATCCAAACCTTAGATACTAAAATGAATCCTAAGCCAATGTAGTGAAACAGCCTTGATTAAAAATAACACTTATACACAGATAAACCCGGCTAAGTGTAGGTGCAAATCCTTTCCTCTGACACCGGGTCTATCACACCCTACTATCCTCCATCATGCAGCTGCCAGCTACATCTGTGACACTTACTCTTGGCGAACCTGACGGAGGTTAGCTGAACACCCCGGCGAGCAGTGTGGTGGAGGGAGCGAGCAACGATAGCAGCCATACTTGCTGGTGTACAGATCCTCTCCTTCCTCAGCTGCGCCAGAACCTCCGTCCCAGTGATGCTGCATGGTTCCTCCTTATAACTTATACCATAATTTATGTTTACTTGTTTTAGTAAAAATGGAACATGTAGCCTTTTCTCTTATATTTTTTTATTATTAAAATGCTAAATAGCTTATTTTAGAATTGAAGAGGGAACCGTAGTGCCAACCTAAATACATCTAATTAATTCGAATCGGGCTTGGTGCTGTTTAGACGTTTTACTCTGGCTCTGCCTTCAGCAATGGTAGTAAAGTGGCTCAGTTTTCTACCTAGCACGTAGGTCTTCATTATACTTACCGGTGACATATATTTACATTAAGTTGTCAAAGAAATTCCTCTACATCACAGTACGGATATTTGGACGGCTTAACAAAGAGCCGGTAACTAACTCATAAGATATATATACAATGTATTCAGGTATAATATAATTTATAATATCTTTATTTACTACAAGTACATGTACATGGTACATGACATGACATCAGTGACATACTACTATATAGAAAGCCCCTTGTTATGCTGAGTATTTCGGCCAAATTCGGTCAGGTCGCTTGGTGGCTAAAGCTCTCGTTTCACACAGGGAGGGCCCGGGTTCGATTCCCGGCGGGTGGAAACATTTCGACGCATTTCCTTACACCTGTTGTCCTGTTCACCTAGCAGCAAATAGGTACCTGGGTGTTAGTCGACTGGTGTGGGTCGCATCCTGGGGGACAACATTGAGGACCCCAATGGAAATAAGTTACAGTCCTCGATGACGCACTGACTTTCTTGGGTTATCCTGGGTGGCTAACCCTCCGGGGTTAAAAATCCGAACGAGATCTTATGTGTACAGAACGTACGATAACACAAAAGAGTCAAAGTAACGTATTTCCATTGTAAACACCTATTACAAAGTTATGTATACCTCGCAGATTTTTTTTTTTTTGTGAAGTCCACATTTTCAATTTGCGAATTCTTATTTTAATAATAATAAATTTTCTTGTACTATTACCCTTCAGATGTGGTCAATGTTTCCCTTGTCATCAGGAGGCTGGGTTTGATAGGGTGAAGCTGTAATTTCCCTTAACAACAACAACAACTATATTGCAACGTTTATGCATCCTGATGTAAGCAAATTATTATGCAGGTATTTACAAGTGCTACATCTAAATTGGGGTTGAAGAGAAATAAAGTAGGGAGTGAGGTAGGGGCCTTGCAAAGTAGGGAGGAAATAAGTATTGTCATTGATCCAGCCTTTAATGTAAGCATTCCCGAGCGTATTTTTTCCTTAGCAGATTATTATGCAGCCAACATATTTTAATTATTTCAGTTGCATTGTGATGATTTTTATAATATGAAAGAAAATTGGTCACAGTAGCAGCAAATTAGTATCGATAGTAGCAGAGTTCTTAAAGACAGCAGCACATTTGTAATTATTTCTGCAAACACCTTTTATCGTACAGCAATGAAGGAATGGAGCTGTATAGCCCTTGTGGCTTAGCGCTTCTTTTTTATTATAATAATAATAATGAAGGAATGGAGCAGACTGCCTGTACATGTCAAAGCCAGTGATAGCATGAACCAGTTCAAGAAGAGAGCCAAAAGGTACCTAATGAATGTAGTGACAGAAAGGGAGGAGAATGATTTATTATTTTCTTAGCTAACACGTGTAAATACAATGGAACCTTGCTTTTTGTCATTAATTCGTTCCAGAAAGTCTGACGAAAACCGAGTTTGATGAAAACTGAAACAATATTTCCCATGAGAAATAGGTAATGTAACTCCAATTAATCCATTCCAGACACCCAAAAGTATTAACAAAAGAATTCATTTTATAGAGAATAACTATAGTTTTACATACGGAAAACAATTAGAAATATATATAAAGGACTAATGAAATGGATAAATGAACATTTAACATCACTTTTACCTTTATTGAAGACTTGTTGGCATATGAGCTAGAAATCTATACAGATATTGACGAATGTATTAATAATTTTCTAAAAAAAGACCCAATACCTCTATAACAAGCACTGCCCTAAAAAAACTAAACAGATGACAGCTAAGAGACTGAACAGTCCCTGGCTAACACCCAGCATTCTCAAATCCATAAATACAAAACACCAATATGAAAAACAGTACAGAATGGGTCACATAACCAGAGACCAAACAAAACGTTACTCGTCAATCCTAACCAGCCTGATAAGAAGGGCAAAAAAATTGTATTATGAGAACAGATTATCCAACTTACGAGGTGATAAAAAAGCCCTGGAAAACCCTATCAGAAATTCTGGGAACAAAAAAAGATATCACGAAATAGCAAAATAAAATTAGCAAAATCGGGATGACCCACTCCCCCCCAACAGGAAACAGCAAACAGACTCAATGATTTCTTCTCCACTATAGGACAAAACCTTGCCAATAAAATCCCAAGCTCAGTTACCCCACCAAATGATACCTCACCGGCAACTACCCGAACACACTGTTCCTAGCTCCGATAACCCATACGAAGTCTCCCTTATTATCAACGCACTAAAAAACAAGGCAGGAGATTTAAATACCTTACCACCCTTTATATACAAAAAACTGTCACAAGTGCTTATCACCAATCATTTGCAACACTCTTTAACAAAACCCCTAGAATCCTCCCCCCTTCCCTACAGTACTCAAATAGCAAGGGTCCCCCGATCCACAAAGGAGGAGACCCCAAAAAGAGTTGAATAACTATAGGCCAATACCAACTTACACCCTCTCTCAAAAATCTTCGAAAAAAAATTTAATTCATAAACGAATCTACTCCTACCTTATCTCCCAAAACATACTCAACCCCTGCCAATTTGGATTCAGGCCTAATAAAAATACTAATGATGCTATTATACACATGCTAGAACATATATACACTGCAATAGAGAAAAAAGAAGTCCCACTGGGGATCTTCATTGACTTACGTAAAGCTTTTGATACAGTTGACCATGACTTGCTCCACGTAAAATTGTCACACTATGGTAATAGAGGGCACTCCCTCAACTACCTCAAGTCATACCTCAGCAACAGAAGCCAATATGTGTACGCAAATGGGGCAAACTCTTCTGCGCAACCAATTACAGTTGGTGTCCCACAGGGAAGTGTCCTTGGCCCTCTTCTCTTTCTCCTATACATAAATGACCTTCCAAATGCTTCGCAATTACTCAAACCCACACTATTTGCAGATGACACTACATACGTCTTCTCTCACCCGAGCCCAGTCACGCTAGCCAATACTGTAAATACCGAATTACAGAAAATATCTACCTGGATGAGGACTAACAAACTTACACTAAACATTGACAAAACCTACTTCATTCAGTTTGGTAACAGAGCTACAGATGTCCTCTTAACATAATGATAAACGGATCACCTATCACAAAGCTAACAGAGGGAAAATTCTTAGGAATCCACCTTGATAATAGACTCAAATTTCATACACATATACAAATTTCTAAGAAAATTTCCAAGACTGTAGGCATACTATCGAAGATACGGTACTATGTTCCACAGTCAGCCCTCCTGGCCCTATATCACTCTTATTTACCCCTATCTCACCTATGGAATTTGTGCATGGGGCTCACAACAAATTAACCATCTCAGACCACTAATTACCCAACAAAAGGCTGCAGTTAGAATGATAACAAATTCTCACTACAAGCAGCACACTCCACCAATATTCAATACACTAAACCTACTCACCATGCAAAACATCCATATTTATTATTGCACCTATTACGTACATAGAACACTTAACTCTGATATTAACCCTCCCCTCAAAACATCTCCTTGCCAACCTCAACAGAACACATGAACTTAACACAAGGCATAGATCACTCTTGATGTTCCTCGTGTCCATCTCACTACTATGCAAAAATTCATGCACATTAAAAGGCCCTAAAATCTGGAATTCATTACCTGTAAATATAAAAAGAAACACTACCTGTTTATAAATTCAAGTCTCTTCTCAAGATCAATTACCCATAAAACCAAATAAATATGAATACTGAACCTTATAAATTGAATATCTTAAATGTTTCTCACAATTATATCACATAATGTCTAAACCTAAAACCCCAATCTAACTTTATTATTTTTTAAAATACACTACTACCTAAAAGATTACCCTTACGACCTGATGTACAACAATGCATGCAAACCATATGCAACTGTCTTTTTGATACTCATTTCGTGCTTTATAGTTATCTGTTTACATATATTGTATTGTACTGCTTTCATCATTGCTAGTTTAATTTTAAGCCAGCCTTGAATTATGCATAGTATACGTGGCTTTGGCATGCTGCCTCTATCTGTATTTTTTGTACCTCTGTATGTATGCTCAAATGTAAATAAATAAATAAATAAATAAATAAATAAATGGAAAACGGCGATTAGGGGAGAGGGAGGAGAGGCTATCTCTACCACCATCACTACCACCCTCTACTGATGAGAAACAAAGTCAGACTGACTCAGAACACGTTGATTTGGCTTTGTGGGTGTGAAGTGGACATGTTCAGTATGATGGATCACTGTCAACTTGATGAAAACCGAGGTGATGAACAAAAACTGGGACAAAATTTTGAAGAAAAAAGTTGTCAAAAACCGAATTCAATGAAAACTGGGGAAAACTAAAACTGGGGTTCCACTGTATAACTCATTTTACCTCATTCCTAGTATATTTCCTTTAAAGTATAATAATAAGGTATTAAAAGGACCCCAATGGAAATAAATCACTGACCTTTTTTGGGCTATCCTAGGTTCTCTACATGCTGCTATGTATGATAATCTATGTAACTATTTGTGTATACCTGAATAAACTTGCTTATTTACTTACATATAAATCCAAAACAACAACCATTCGTTCTGTTTTTTAAATCAACAAATCCTTTCAGATCACAAATTAACACTGAGTATCCTCACCATTAGTCTCAGCACTAACAATGAAATTATTTAGGGGCTTTGCTGAAGATGGGTCCTGCTGGTAATTTTGTACAAAATGGTAATGGGTGAGACTGGGTTCTTCCTCAGTTTTTGACACATTCATCCACAGTTAGGAGCAATTTGTTTACATAAGTTTCCATGGTGGAATTGCTGACAAAACGTTAAGTAAAAGGGCAGATGCCAACGTCACATTTGTTGCATCAGTGTCCTTTTACTTAACATGAGTTTCCATGTTTATCCAGCTGCCTAATTATGATTTAGCTGAACTACTAGGTCTTAAGATAACCACAAGTATTTTCTAATCTTTCCACATGTGTAAGATGTCTTCCCCAAGGCCTGGTCAAAGGCTGGGCCAAAGGGGCATTGATCACCAGAATCCCCTCCAGGTATACTGTATTTTTCTAAAGAATGAAGACTATTCATTGACTAAAGTAAATTTTTACCTGTTACATTCATATTTGTTGCATTTGTGTACTTCATCAAACTTTTCCTGTGCTAGCATTAGATTTTATCAGTTACAATATAATGTATATACTGAATACAGTACCATGATTTAAAGTAAAAAAAAATAAAATATTACTAATTGTGTATCATTCTCAGTTCTTCAGATTGTATAAGTGAAAATGGGTGATCGTTATAATATTCACTCCCAACTAGAGCACTTGCAGTCTAAATACATTGGCACAGGTAATGTATAATTGATAATAATAATAATAATAATATAGAAAAACCTTGTTATGATACTAATAGGGAAAGGGATGGGGTGTCTTCTAACAAAAATCTGTTTCATTGGATTCCCTGATGCAGCAGACACTAGTGCTCATGAACAAATAACCCAATGTACCATACTTGGTCTGTTGAATAGGGAACCTACCAGAAAAACACTGCTAGCAAGACAAATGTCCGATGCAGTGGACGTAGTCTGTTGCATTGAGTTTTTGTCTAGCCAGATATTTTATACTTTGTATCCAGGATAAGGGTAAGGGGCTTTTTGTTACACTTCTGGATTGTAAAAAGTCATATGATAGGGTGGATAGGAAAGCAATGCTGCAAGTGTTGCAAATGTATGGAATCGGTGAAAGGTTATTACAAGGTGTAAAGAAGTTTAATAAGAGGCAAGAGTTAGGGTGTACATGTATAGGAGAGGAGGATTTTCTGATAAAGATGGATCTTAGACAGGAATATGTGTCATTGTAGGTATTTAATGTATTTCTAGCTGCGTTTGTACCATTAATGTTAGGGAGGAGTTTGAGCTTAAAAGATAATGAATTTGATGTAAAGTGGTAGTTATCACAGGTCCTCTTTGCTGATGACACTGTACTTTCATAATATTTGGAAGGGAAGTTGCAGACATTGATGGGAAAACAGGAGTGTGTGTCAAAAAAAAAAGAAATAGAAAAGCAGTGAAAGGTGTATGAAGTGAATTTTAAATATTGTTTAGCAATTAATGTTTTTGTAAAGAAGTTTATGAAAAACAAGATAAATTATAGAATAGATGGTACATAAAAATATTTAAATTGTAGAATTTGTTTTTTTTTGTGTAGTACACTGCATTATATTACCGTATTCTAAAGCTAAATGTATATTATGCTATTTATCCTATCTGTTCTGCATTACTTTACAGGTCATGCAGATACTGCGCAGTTTGAATGGTGTGTCAATCAACAGCGTGACACATACGCATCTTACATGGGCCACTTTGACATGCTGAATATGATTGCAATAGGAGAAAATGAAACAAAAGCTCGTGTTCGCTTCAACATGATGGAAAAAATGGTGCAGCCCTGTGGACCACCACCTGAGAAGAATGAAGATTAAAGTATTTTGTATGCATTTAAGGTTATACTTTTGTACAGTATAAGTAAAAAAACCAAGACTGTACTGTATTTCATTTTCTGATTATGTATTGGTTAAATAAGTTACAGGCAATTACTTTTTGAGTGAACCCTAGCTTAGCATAGTTTATCTTCGTGCATATTGATTACAGTGCCATTTATAGAAATACCATGGTATTTTCCTAAACAGGGAAAAAACTTTGCTGAGTAGTTCAGATAAATGTATGAGAAATTAAATTTTCACACACCTGGCTGACTAAGGCAATCTGAATATTCTACCACCTTTAGGAAAAGGTGCCTCGATTGCTGATAGGTTCTTAATTCAAGGAATTTGAGCTACCCATTCCTTATCAAACCTGATTACCTTTCATTTCCCAGGCAATGTGGGACCCCTGCAGGTTTGCACTTTCCCATGATTATTCTGCTTTTAACCTACTGTACTGGCAGTTTCCAACTGAGGTAAGGTTTTCCCCCTCCCCCCCTTTTACATTCTTTAGGCATCTTCACAGACTCGAAAGTCTTTGTGTTCATTTCCTTTAGCCCACAGCGACTTCTCAGACCTGTTTAAATGTGAGGGGCTGTATTGTCTAGGGTTATAATTATTTCATAAACATGAGGTGATATTTAGTAGTACCTAAGTGGATAATTTACCTCTTGTTGACATTACACAGGATTAAACTGTTAGACTAGGGTATAAAAGATCATTTCTTGGACACCATCTCTTGCCAAACAGTGTTTTACTAAACCACAAGGGTTTTAGAGAAAGAAACGGCTCTTTTTAGGAAAAATATATTTAAATATAAAGATATTATTTATAAGACAATATAAACACACATGGAAAATGGGTAAACCACGTTACATCTTGTGGCAGAAGGACTACAAGATGACCAAACATTAGTCCACATAATTCTTCGGGACCATCCTGCAATTTTCAGCTTAGGCACACAGTCACTTTGCTATGGTCTATACCTTTGGTTTCTTAATTCAACCATTAATAATACTGCAAAGCAGTGGTGGTGATCTGACATCAACATAAAGCCAGGATGAGAGAGCCAGGTATAGGAAAAATATAAAAACAAACAACTATGAAAACAAGAGCATCGGTGTTGAAATTAATTTATTATTACCTCTGGTTTTCTTGTCTTAAGTATATTAATGATTTATTTATTAATGTACATATACAGTAGAGCCCACTTATGGCGTTTTGGCCTTATGATGTTTCACTTAATACGGCCAATTTCAAATTAAGGACCAAAACTTGCTATACAGGCGAGCCGTCTTTTCCAAAATATGGGCATGCCCCACCCAGTTTGTTTATATTCTCTGTGAGCTCATGCCTCTATTATGTCTTGAAACTTTCCAAAATTTCAAGCGTTTTTAAAGTTATTGCTTATTTTATTGTACGTACTCTGTTTAATTATACTTGTGTACCTGCTAACCAAAAATGTACTTACACACTGTGCTGGTGTGCAGGTACACATTAAAATCACTAAGAGTCTCTCTACTCTTAACGTACTACGAAATCTCTTGGGCGCATTGAATGTCGTATACGTATTACATTAATACGTATAGACATTTACATTTAAAACACCTTTGAGGGTCGACAGGCCTCTCGAAACTCGTTCTACAGGGTCGGCCAAATTTTAATAAAAAAAAAAAATTATTTTCTCTTATGAAAAGATAGGGAATCTTTTCCCGATCATAAAAAGACACAAAAGTTTGAAAGTTTGATAGAAAAACTTTACGGGGAATTATGCTCTCGCATAAGTTAGCGGTCTCGGCGATGTTTCGCATCGGCGCGATGTTGCCCACTTTGAGCCCATTTTTCGGCCAATTTCACTGTACTAAGGTCGACAAAAAACATGAATATTTCGTGAACTCCATTTTTTCTATCGAAATGGATGCAGAAAACACTCATTTATGTTATTAAAATATCAGTACAGTGGTCAGGAAATTTACGCAATTTTGCAATTTCACACAAATTTCAAAAGTTGCCATTTCGGAATAGGGTCCAGAATAAACGAAGGGGAAAGACATTCTGGCACTAAAATGAACTTTCTCTAGCAGTAGTCATGTCTAAGTCCCCTTTATATTTTTGCTTTCTCTTTGAATTTTTATTTTCACAAAAAAATATAAGATTTTACTGTTATGAGACTACTCTTTAGTGTTAAATTGGTATAAATATTATTGGTGCACTTGTGAATGATATTAGGACTCAACCAGTTGACGTGTATTGCTCGCTTTGGACGATTTGTTTACTTTGATTTTGGTAAAAAATCGAACATTTCTGCTACTTTGTGCTCAATTAAGCACCTTTCTTTGTAAAACCAGTTCAAAATCATCTCAATTTCTGTAATATGTCTTCCACTCTATAAAATGAGACCAAGAAAAACTAGAATACAACAATAAATACCATACGGAAAATACACTGCAAGTCGCTGATTTATTAAAAAAAATGGTCTAAGTTTTTTTTTCTTCATTATGCACTGTGTGCTGCAGGTTTTTTTTAGACATGTGCACAATGACCACATTAGACTCCATTCTTTCATATATGAAGAGCCTACAGGCTTTCTCCCACTAGATTTGAGGCCGCTAGAATTTATGAGTACTAGTACGTCTCAAAAACCCTACGCGTTAAACGTATAGTACGACGAAAACCCCTCAATGGGTTACTCCATCTGTGATATTTTTTTCAAAATTATATAATAAACACACTACTTAATGCATAAACATGATAAATACACCCCACTGTTGAATAAATTAACTTAAATATGAGATTGTGGTAAGCAAGGCAACTTGTTGGACTTGTGGTAGCCAGGTGAATGTAGTTCAACATAGGAAAATGTCACTATATGATTACCTGGCGGGTAGCTAGAAAATTTTCCTTTCGTTTTGCCTTTCATTTACTCATCATTTCTTCTAAAATGAGGTTACAGGAGAATGGGAGTTTCTCTCTTTAGTATTTATTCTACTGTATCAACAGGGAGTCAACTTGTAACAATGTTTAATGTGACGAATGCCAGACGCTGGTCACCTGGTTTGTTTACATTACGTGTTGATGCGTTGACTGGCTGGACCACCCAGACTTCTTACAAATAAAACTCACCTCTCACCCTACAGTAAGACTACAAATATTTTAATGTAATATTATTTTTTCTTTTGTTCAGCTCCATTATCACACTGGCCAGTTCCTACCAAGGAAGGGTGGCCCCGATAAAGAAAAACTTTAACCATATTAACTCCATCACTGTCTTGCCAGATGAGTGCTTTACACTACAGTTTTAAATTGCAACATTAAACCCCTCCTTCAGAGTGCAGGAACTGTACTTCCATCACCAGTTACTCAAGTTCCCGGCCTGCGGTTCCCTGATCCCCTTCATAAATGTTACTTTGCTACACTCACTCCAACAGCACGTCAAGTATTTAAAACCATTTGTCTCCATTCATCTATAAACTCGCTCACGCATGCATGCTGGAAAGTCCAAGCCCTGCACACAAAACCTCCCATTTAGCCTCCACTCCACCTTTCCTAGGCGTCCCTTACACCGCCTTACTTCACTACAGATAGATATACACTCTTGAAGCCATTCTGTTTGAAAGGACTTCAAGAATTGAATTTGAATGAATTTGGAAAAGCATTTGTAGGGTGGATAGAGGGGGTAATAATGTGGCAGATGTTGCAATTTGTATGGAATAAGAGGTAGGTTATTGAAGGCAGTGAATAGTTTTTTGCGAGTGGGAGATAGTGCGGTTCAGGTTAGAATTATGTAGGTGGAGGGGGAGTATTTCCCAGTAAAAGTAGGACTTAGACAGGAATGTGTGATGTCACCATGGGTGTTCATATTTTATAGATGGTAGTAGTAGAGGAGTGAATGCTTGGGTGTTGGCAAGAGCGTGTGGGGTTATAAGATAGAGGAATCTAAACACAGAGTGGGAGTTAGTCACAGTTGCTCTTTGCTGATGACACTATAACTTTTGGGAGATTCTGAAGAGAATTTGCAGAGGTTGGTTGATGGTTTTTTGGGTATTAGGGTATGTAAAGAGGAAGTTAAGTGAATATAGGAAAGAGTAAGGTGATAGAGGATACAATAAAAATTAGCAAAGAAGATTGGATTTCAGTTTGGAGGAGAGAGTATGGAGGAGGTGTATGTGTTCAGATATTTTGGGAATGGACGTGTCAGCAGATGGGGTATATGGAGGAGAGGTGAGGGTCATAGAATGACAAGGGTTAAAAAAGGTGAGGTTTTGCACTGAGGAATCTGTGGAGACAAAGACTTTATCCATGAAAGCAAAAGAGGGAATGTATGAGAGTATAGTTATACCAATGCTCTTGTATGGGTTTGAGGCATAAGTTGTTGATGTTGCAACAAGGACAAGGCTGGAGGCCTTGGAGAATGTATGTATGAGGGCAATGTTGTGGTGTGAATATAATGCTGGAGAATCCATAGTTTGGGAGATTAGGAGGAGGTGTGGTGGGGATTACCAAAACTATTGGTTTTCGAATGTGAGAGGATGGAATACAAAAATAGAATGACTTTGAGAGTATTTAAATCTGTAGTGGAGGGCCAGGCCGGGTAGGGGTCGGGCCTAGGAAAGGTTGGAGGGAGAGGGTTTAAAAGGAGGTTTAGTGTTGTGAGGGCTTGGACTTCCCCCAGCGAGCATGCGTGAGCATGTTAGGACAGGAGCGAATGGAGACAATATGGTTTTAGGACTTGATGTGCTGTTGGAGTTTAAGCAAGGTAACATTTATGAAGGGATTCAGGGAAACCGGCAGGCCAGACTTGAGTCCTGGAGATGGGAAGTACAGTGATGGCACTCTGAAGGAGGAGGTGTTAATGTTGCAGTTTTATGACTGTAGTGTCAGCATGCCTCTGGCAAGACAGTGATGGAGTGAATGACGCTGAAAGTTTTTCTTTTTCGGGCCACCCTGCCTTGGTGAGAAACAGCCGATGTGTTAATAAAAAAAAATAATGTACTATATGTATTTTATCACTCTGGGGTGCTTTAATTAAATGTCATAGTATATTACGTTTGGGTGGGGTGG